TATATATTGAATTAATAAATATAAATAAATAAACATAACTAAATAAATATAAACAAATATAAACAAATATAAATATAAATAGATATATTGAGCTGCTAAACATATATATTGAATAAACAAATAAAACAAAACAAACATAACTAAACAAACATAAACAAATATAAATAAATATATATATATTAAATTGCTGCTCACCTTGTCCACAGGGTATCCCAGCCTTGATAAAGGAGCAAATTCGCGTCTTATCTAAACGCGGCTGCGGCCGCAGCTCTTCTCTTCGGTGCGCATATCGGCACTTTGCTGCTAACTTGCACAGCCCCCGCGCTGCATGCGGACACATCTGCGTCTTATAAAATATTAAACGTCTGTCTGCTAATATTGTTTCGTTCAGTGGGATCGCAGATACTGATACACCGCCATTCACACCTCCTCCTCCCCCTGCTGCTGCTGCTGCTGCTGCTGCTGCTGCTGCGGCGGCGGCGGCGGCGGCAGCAGCAGTAGAAGCCGCAGATTCTCCTGTTCCTGGTGGCTCTGCTGCTGCTCCAGAGTCGACTGCTGCTGAAGATTCTGCTGAGCAGTCTGCTGCTGATGAGGACTCTGCTGCTGCTCCGGATTCTGTTGCTGCTGCTGTTGATTCTGCTGCTGCTGCTGCTGCTGCAGCAGCATGAATCTCCCCATGCTGCTGCTTTTTGTCTTCCTGCTGCGCTGCACCTGCATACACTAAATGGGTTTCTTCTTCTTCACCCGAAGCATCCCGTTGCTGCTGCTGCTGCTGCTGTTGCTGCTGCTGCTTCTGTTGCTGCTGCTGCTTCTGTTGTTGTTGCTGCTGCTGCTGCTGATCGGGGGAGCAGCCATGGAGCTCTACACCGTGAGAAGCCAGTAAAGAAGGCAGCAGCTGCAGCTGCTGTTGCTGCTGCTGCTGCTGCGACAGATGAGACAGCAGCAGCTGCCGCTGCAGCGCTTGCTGCTGCTTCGACGTCTTACAAGCCACAGCTTTGCTGCTGCTGCCTGCTGCTGCTCCCAATTCTTCTGCTGCATCAACAGGGCACAGCTGCAGCAAATCAGACAGATGTTTCTTATCGACGGGTAATGAAAACACTCGGCTCATCTGCTGCTGCTGTTGGTGTTGCTGTTGTTGCTGCTGCTGCTGCTGTTGTAGTACCTTCTGCTGCTGCTGCTGCTGCTGCTGCTGAGGGTAGTAGGGATTGCACGTGAGGTTGCTGGAGCCCTGTGGCTGGCCTGCTTCTACCTCTACTGCTGCTGTTGCTGTCGCTGCTGCTGTTGCTGCTGCTGCTGCTGCTGCTGCTATTGGTGTAGCTGCCTCTTGAGAACAAACGTTTGCTGTGCTGCTGCTGGGCATAGCCTTAGAAGTGCTGTTGCTGCATATGTCTTCAGTGGATGGTGTTGTATCTGCTGCTGCTGCTGCAGCAGCTGCTGCTGTTGCTGTTGCTGTCGCTGCTGCTGCTGCTGCTGCTGTCGCTTGCCAGGCAGCAGCAACGGAGCCCCAGCAATCTGTGGGGTCGTCTGCTGGGGTATGTGTCATTTGCTGCTGCTGCTGCTGCTGCTGCTGCTGCAGCTGCTGTTTTTATTTAATTCAAATTCAAGAGAAAAAAAAGAGAGACAAAAATGAAACAAAGAGAGTGCCTTGCCTCTGAGGTGTACAGACAGATACCTGAATAGTCTCTATAAATAGAAGAAGGAAGCAAAACGAAAGAATAACAAACAGCAGCAGCAGCAGCAGCAGCAGCAGCAAACTACAAGATCCAGGCGGTGGGGCAAGTAGGGGGGTGCCTGGAGGAGGAAGGAGGTTTTTATCTTCTTCCTGGTTGCAGCAGCAGCTGCTTCTGCTGCTGTTGGTGCTGCTGCTGTTGCTGCTGTTGCTGCTGTTGCTGCTGCTGCTGGTGCTGCTGCTGCTGCTGCACAAATAGCGGCAGCTTAGCGAGCCCTCATGCAGGGGCTCTTCTGCTGTCTTCTATTCAAAGAGGAAGCAGAGCTGAATATAAGAGTTTGTGCTGCGGCTTCTAAGTAAAGTTTAAACTATATTTTGATAAAAACAAACAAAGAAGATGAGGCGGGAAGGCTACAGAGCAAGGAGAAGGTCTTCAGATGAGCAGAGGGGGTGCAGCCAATTTGTTATGCTGCTGCTCAGCTTAAAGCAAACAATTTTAACAAATAATATCGTTAAAAATATAACAACACTGCGGAGATGCCGATATAAAGAAAGAAGAGCAGAGAGAGAGGCCTGGAGGCAGAGGCAGAGGGAGAGGCACAGTAAGCTGCTTGTCTTAATTTTTTGAGGGTTAAAAGAGTTTGTTTAAACAAATATAATTAAACAAAATAAAAGCAAAATAAACCTTAAAACAATACTTTTCTTACCCTTCTCCCCAGGTGTATATACACTCGAGGTTCAAGAGAGCTAGCAGCAACAAGCTGTATAGAAAGACGCAGATATAGGGTAGAAAAGCGTACGAAAAGAAGAGAAGAAAGAATAAGTGAGTCGAGTATATAAATAAATAGAAATTAAAAAGATAAAAACATACAAGAGCAAACAAAGATAATAAAGAAATAAAGATATACCCTCACCCCCCAATACAGCAAAGATAGCGAGACAGCAGCAGAGGCTTCTCGAGTTAAACAAAGCTGTTTTCAAGTATTAAGAGAACTTAGTCTTCTACACATCTTAAGAAAAGAATTAAAAAAGCAAAATTATATTCTCTTTCCCCCAATCTAACCCGAAAATATTCAAACAAAACCCCCGCCCCGTCGCGCTGCGGTGTATCTGCAGACACCTCAGCAGCAGCTAGCTATTCGTATTGTAGGGGCTGTATAAAATACATATATATAGTTTCTGGGGCTCTTCGAGCCGCTTTTTCGACTTCTTTTCCTCTTTTTAGCTATTAAATACTCTTAATTTCATATATATCGCATAATTTCCACTTAAATACACCCCGAAATATCACTTCTTCTGCTGCTGCTGCTGCAGCCAGCAGCAGCAACTCCGGTGTGTAGATCGAGGCAGGCGCAGCAATATAATTGTTCTTTTCTACTTTATTTATATTTATCTTGATGTGCATTATTTGTCTATTTAATTCCTTTTGTTTTGCTCTTTTGTTTTTCTCTCTTTACTGCTATTTATACTCTGTTTATAGCGTAATTAAAACCTATTCACATCATACAGACAGACCATCCAACCTCCTTCGCCTTCGCAGCAGCAGCAGCAGCAGCAGACTTCTCTTTCCTTCTCTTCCCCGCACTTACTCCTAATAATTATAATTTAAATATCATAAGCATTAACCCTTATACACCCTACACCCCTCCGTTCTACATATACTCAGTTTAAACCCAGCGAGGTGTGCTACTGCAAGCTATACGCATAACAGCTGCTGCAGCAGCAGCTGCTGCTGCTTCTATCAAACAAAAAAACATTCGCTTTTATCTCAGATTAAAAAACAACAAGCCTTCCCTCTATATATCAAGAGAAAAATAAAAATATAAACACATATATGCTGCACATATAGTATATATAACAAACTAGCCAAACTCTATTTATCTATTGATAAATCTAAATTTATACAAAAGTTTAAATTCTTCTTCATCTGCCTGGCGTTGAGGTGTACGTACACCCGAAGTGCAGCACTAATTATGCTAATTATGCTGCTTGTAGCTGTCCCCTTAGACAGAATTAGATATAAAGCAACTTAATAACAATATTATATAGTAAAGACCAGCCAAAGAATAATATTAGCAATAATAGCAATAATAATAATAATAGTAATAACAGGAGTAATAATGATAAATAATAATAATAATAATAAATAATAAATAATAAATAATAATAAATAATAGATATAATAATAAATAATAATAAATAATAAATAATAATACTCTTATTAAATAGCAGTACGAATTTATTTTCGTTCGGCTCGCACCCGACAACTTGGGGTTGCCAGCACATCGTTGCAGCAGCAGAAGAACAGAAAATCAATTATCTGCTGCTGCTGCTGCTGCTGCAGCAGCTGTTGCTGCTGTTATTTGCTCGATTGCATTCTACTGGGTCTTTTCAGACCTCAGGCATTGTCTAGTGCATGCAGTCGTGGGGTGTACATACACCGTGTTGTGCTATTAATTCTTAGCGCTAAGCAAGAAGTTGCAGACTCTGTCTGTGTCTGCTGCTCCTGCTGCAGCTGCAAACTGCAGCGGCCCGCTGTTTAGATAGGTGTCGTTCAGCAAGAATTCCTTCTGAATATCTGCGCTAAGAGCAGCAGCTGCTGCAGCCTGTGTTGGCGTCTGCAGCTGCACATCAAATACACCCGAAGCAGCAACTCCCTCAAGCTGGAGACCTGCTGCTGCTGCTCCGGCCTTCACGCTGAGACCGCAGGCGATTGCTGCTGCAGACAGCGGAACGACGAGAGGAGAGAAAGAAGCCACGGGAGCGCTCGGATTGCTTATCATTACTGCAGCACTGGGGAGCTGCTTCAGACAAGGAGAAACAGCGAGAGATCCGCACATCAATCCAAGTGTATACCCAACGCTGCAGTCGTACGCGGAAGGCATTGACCCCCGCACCTGCACCAGAAGGCGGAGAAAAAAAGAAACAAAGGAAGACCTACACCTCTATGCATGCAAAAAGAAATGCATAAACGCAGCATAAACATATAGTAATATATAATCATAATGTAGAGAAATGAAGTTTATTCCACTTAAAATGACAATATAAATATACCTGGTCAGACAAATCGAAGCAAATTGGCGCAAAACTACCGCTGAAAGTACCGGCGGCCTTTCTGCCTTTCAGCACATCTGAGACCTGAAGAAAGAAGAAGAGGGAAAGCGAGAAGAAAATGCGTGCAATGAATTTGTTTCTGCTGCTCATGCGAAAAAGAGTGAAATAAATATCTTAAATAGCCTTATTTTACAGTCCTAAAGATTCAAGAATAAGAAACTGCAAACGCAGCATAAATTTATTTCAGCGGAAGCTGCATATACACCCCAAATGCATCCTGCATTGAACGAAACTCACCATAGCAGCAAGGCAGCTTATAAGAGGGAAACTGGCGGCTTTTTGAGGGAAACTGCCTGGGGTTTTGAATATTTCGACGAATTTCTCTTGATATGTCTTCGGAATTGTCTTAAATACTGCAGCTGCCGCCCCTGAAAGAGCTGCTGCGTTTCCACCGTTCATAGAAAGAGCAACGCCAACAGCTCTGAGCTGTACGTACACCGCAGCATTGCAGAAACCGAAAACAATACAACTTTGTCAGTTTCTTTCACTGTTACGAAATAATTCATACATCAAACCTACACACACATTTAGATAAACAACGTCATATAAAATGGCTGCATGCTGACACTGCATTTCAATTATCATTTGCCTTCGGTTTTCACAGATGAATTCTGCATTTCTTCTACCGAACGACCCGCGGCAACAACAGATATCTTTAAATAATGCTTTTCGATAAGAGACGCTGTTCCAATTAATATATAATTTCAAGAAGAATTATCTCTCTCATACTATATTCAATTGCATGCATGCGTGCGTGCATGCATGCATGCAGCGCCCTGTGGGTATGCTCGCGAACTTTAACGGGGCTAAAGGAAAAAAGGCATTTATGGAGACGCACCGCTTTGTTGGTGATGAACAAATCTTCGTTCATCAGCAACACGCCGAAGTTTTTCTTCTCTGCGCAGCGCGCTGCCACACAATCCGCAATTTTCTGCGAAAGGAAGAAAAAATAAAACAAATAAAAACAAATAAAAAGAAAGATACAGAAAAAGAAATAAAGACATCTGCTGCAGCGTATGTAGAAGATCCATGCAAAAACCGCAGTATTATTAAATACAAAAACACACGACCCGAATATAACACATAAAGAGTCAGACAGCTACTCCTCAGCGGATGCACATAGAGAGAGAGAGAGAGAGAGAGAGAGAGAGAGAGAGAGAGAGAGACAGAAAAGTAGAAAGTAAATAAATGAAAGGGAATAAGAAAAGAAAAGAAGAGACAAACCTCTGCAATCTGAAGAGGAGTCAGATCAGCACATGCAGCAGATAAAATAACACAGTTTGGATGCGTTTGAACTGCGACCTCCGCCTCAGCGCCTCTGCCGCCTCCAACTCCGCAGAAATAAAAATATTTCGTTGCGCTGTTGCTGTCTGTCATCAGGTTGCCTGCAATATCATAATAATAAATAATAAATAATAATAATAATTAATAGTAATAAATAACAATAATTAATAATCATAAAGAATAATAAAATAACAATAAGAACAATTTGAATGATAATAAATAAATAATAATAAACGCTAACAGTAATAACAATAGTACGATATAATAAACCCTAGTAATAATAAATAATAAATAACAAAAATAAATAAATAAATAAATAAAAATAGAAAATAATAATAATAATAATAATAATAAAGCGTAGGGCTCCTCACCAACGAGTTCTGCTGCTGCTTTTGTTTGCGTGTCGAAGCCGAGTGCTGCTGCTCCTGAGGCATCTGTAATGCATGCACGAGCTGTGCTGCATGCAGTGTTTTGGTTTGCGCTGAATGTAAGAGAAGAAGAAGAGAGCTGCTGCTGCAGCTGCTGCATAAACGATGAAGGGTCTTGCATGCAGAAGTCGCTGGCGCCGCAGACATTTAAAACAACTATATGCTCTCCTCTCTTTGATAATTCTTCTGCTAGTGCTGCGCTTCCAGCCAAGCTACCCCCTATCACAACTAATATATCTAAGCCGCGCGTGTTGCTGCTAAGCAGACCTCCCTGAAGCAAAGCAAATGCATGCATGCATACATGCAAACAAACACAAAATATATACAGTAAACATTTCAGTCAACAACACAATAAATAGAAGGTGCATCAATAGAAACAAACAAATATACATAAATAGACTAATATATGCAAATAAAGATAATAGAGAAATATATATATGCATGCATGCATGAGAAAGAAAGATAATATACAAAAGAATAAATAAACAAATGCATGCAGAGTGAAGACACAGCAAAGGTGAATATAGAAAAAAAACAGTAAAATAAAATATAAAACAAGACATAGAGATCAGCACTACCTCCAAAACAAATAAACAAATTTTTTTTAAATAGAAGAACCTCCTCCTCTACCAACTCAACAAAAATAAAAAAAACAGCATAAAAATAAAACAACGCCCTTAGTCTAATTCATGCATCAACGCAGCATAAAACAACAGATCCGGCACATTAATTGTATTATACAATAAAATTAATAAATAAATAAATAAATAAATTAATTAATTAATTGTTATTATTATTTGCTTACAGGTGCTATGAGCTGATGCTCCTCTGAGACTGTCCTCCCCAGCAGCGGCAGCGCACTTTGATTTTTTTGTCGTTTTATGTCTGCTTCGCATATATTCAAATTTTCAAAGTCTTTTCCGTTCAATACGCCAAACACTTCGCCTCCAGCTCCACGCACTCTGACAACCAAACAAAACAAATAAATTATTCGTACAAATAAAGGTGCTTGCAGCCAGAGAAACATGCCTCTACAACCAAATATATATATATATATATATTTATATATATTTATATATATATGTATATTTAAATGCTTATATGTCGCACATAAATATATATATATATATATATATACATACGTATCAAATATACATATACATATTATGTATATATCAAATATATGCACATTCAAATATATACATGTATATATATATATCACATATATGCACATACAAACATATATATATATATATATATATACATATATATATATGTATCAAATATATGCACATACAAACATATATATATATAAAATATATGATACATCCATTGAATGAAATGTAGATTGTATTTGGGCAGCTGCAACTACAGTTAGTTTAATAGATGATGACGACTGTAGGAATAAGAAAGACAAAAGAAAGAAGAAGACTTGAAATATAATTATTTGCTTACTTCTCAACAATGCCGATAACAACGTTCGTCATCCCTGGGGTTGCATCGCCTACTAACACAAGACCAACCTTCTTTGCTTCGCTAGTTGCTGCTGCAAAAGTATAAAGACCTGCTTGTGCATTTGCTGTCTTAGGGAAGATCTGCTTCAGCTGCTGCTGCTGCTGCTGCTGCTGCAACAGGTCCACCAAGTTGCCTGGCTGCAGCACTACTCCTTGCTGCTGCAGCTGCTGCGGCACCTCAACAGCAGCAGCTTCCCTCTGCTGCTGCAGGGGCGACTGCAGTTGCTGCAGCAAATCGAAGTAAAGGCGGTGTCCCTTCTGCAGCTGTGTGGGGTCTTTAAGTGCTGCTGCTGCTGCTGCTGGCAGCAGCTTCTCTATTGCAGGGGGTCCTGTCAATGTATAGGGCATCTCTAAGCTGCTGGTGTTTAACTGCATGGGCCCAGGCACTAAGTATAAATCTAACAGCTTCCACGCCTCGCGAACCTAAGAAGATAAAACAAAAATATATAAATAAATCATATCAATATATATATATATATATTTATATATTCACAGAGAGAGAGAAAGAGAGAAAGCGAGAGAGATACAGCAGCAACAACTTCAGCACTAGCAGCAACATCTACACTGGCAGCAGCAGCAACAGCACCAGCAGCAACCCCATTAGCAGCAGCAGCAGCAGCAGCATTAGGATTAGGATTAGTAGTAGTAATTACTTGTTCAAATGCTTTGAAGAGAGGCTTATCGATATCTACTAAGAATTTTTTGATGACGGGGACGTTTGCTTTGCCTTTGCGATTTTCTAAATTCATCATCCGAGTCAAAGGAATGCCTGCAGGAAGCCAACTCTTTACGTCGGTGCTGCAGCTCATACCCTTCAGTACAGCCATGCAGCTCGTCACCTAACAAACACAAGCAGCAGCAGATTAAAGCAGCAGCAGATTAAAGCAGCAGCAGGGACAGACAGGAGCACCGGAGACAGCAGAGGGCAGCAGATGAGACAGGCAGCAGCAGCAGCAACAGCAGCAGCAACAGTACATCTCATGGTAGAGAGGAATATATACAGCAAACAACAGAAACAACTTCCTAATGCAATCTAAATAAACACTTGCTGCTCTCTCTCTGCGCAGCTGTACAGACACCTCAGCGAGCCAAGCAGCACAAATGCTGCATAGATTCAACTAAACAAAACAAACAAAGCAGCAGCATGCAGCTGGTCGTACATTATTCTGAATCAAAGCCCCTGCTACATTGCCTAAGGCGTAGCAATATGTCGCATCGAAGTCGCTGGGGAAGCCGCTGCGCCCTTCATATCTGCAGACAGCAGAAAAATATATTTAATTAAAAATATCAATTACCACATACATACAGGTACACAATCAGTTTTGAGGTGTACGTACACCTGAAAACTAAATCGTAATCGTGCGCTGTACTGCTCCTGTGCTATCCATATGCTAAATAATACTAATACTAATAATAATTACTATAAATAATAGCATTAATAGTAATTAAAAAGTAGTTATTAAACAACTAGAAGAGACACAAGACAAACCCTAGATATGTGCAGCGCCCGTTGAAAGGATGCTTAAAGCCGCGGCGTCGTAGTTCTTCGGTTGTGAGTTCCAGCAGCAGCTGCTCTGTATGAATCAAAGCTACCTAAGAACGAACAACAGTACAATTAAAATAAGATAAATAATAAGGTAAATAAGAAGGTAAATAATAAGGTAAATAAGGGTATATGATGCATGCAAGGTAATGCAGTGAGAAGTAGATTAATAAAATATACAAACATCTAATATCATACAGCCAATGAAACAACACGAAAAGAAGAATATCGGTATACCCATACATAAGAATAAATAAGATCTGACATCACATTAAATAATAAAAAAATATATTACCTTATAATGCATTTTGCTAGGGTATATTATATTACATCTTATTGCACTGCAGTCCATCATGTTGAGACAAATAATATTATTTCTTTGTGCTGCTATATGACGACAGAATACGTCTAATTATACTGCATTGAATCTTATTAAGTTATATAACGCTCTGCTTTTATTTCAAAGTAAAATAAAAGAAATATATTTTTACCTGCACATTTCCGTGCGGGTCTCTGTCGAGAAGAAGCTGCTGCTGAGTGTGTGAAGGCAGCATGTCGAGGACTTCACGACTTGCAGGAGTTAATTTTGCTCTGTCAAATTCTCCAGCTGCGACGATGTTATTAATTTCTTGGATTAGAACTCCGACCTGTACATACACCCGAAACATGAACGGGCTGACCGCGACTTGAACGGTAGGGAAACCGAGGGAAACTTGATATTAATTAGGAATAAAATTGTCGATTATTTCATTAAAATGATTTTAAAATGCATATAATGATCAGAAATGCATGAATTTCCTTCAGAAACACTTTCTTTTTCTACACATTCACCTACCTCCGGGATAAATTCAATAAGACCCTCAGGAAGCAGAATGACGCCGTACAGCTTTCCTAGTTTAGCGCGCGCTTCTACTAAATCAGCAGTCATTGCAACGAGTTGTTTTAGTGATTGTTTCTTCGCCTGAACTTCTTCTCCGACGAATGTCATATTAGGGTGGGATCGCAATGCACATTCTAACGTAAGCAGAGAAGCGCTTCGTCCCATCAGCCTGATGAACTGGTAGACATTTCCTGAAAAATAGAATTTAAACAAAGACAAACAACGTAAGAACCTAAATAGAGCAAGCCAGAATATAAATTCAATCAGCTCTACTTCTTTCGTTGAAGCAAGAAACAACAGACAGCAGATGATAAGCAAAGCACAGAAGAAGACATTTAATATATTTCGTCTTCTGTTCTTTTATTTCGCATGCAGTACAACTGGCCTAAGGGGTATATTGCATTTATTCCGGTGTACATGCAGCTTCTTTCTCTTCGTCTTTGTTGTTGTTCCTACAGCTAGAACCCTCGACTCCAGAGCATTAATTAGAGAAGAGAAGAAGAACATACACCGCGTGAGTATTTATATAAAAGGTATATCACAGTAATCACCGTCACAGCATTATTTTATTTTATTTTTATGTTATTTTATGTTATTTTATTTTATTGTAGGGATATAAACCTCCGTGTACACCCTAGACGCACGATTTGTGAGGGTTTGCATCATAAGGTTGCCGATAGAGCAGGAGTAAGAGCGACAGGCCGTATCAAAACCGAAGGATATTTCGACAAAATAATTCTTCAAGTCCCCGTCTATTGTCTTAGGGCAGCCGATAACGCGGGTGGTGCTTCCATATGCTTGAAAATATTCTGCTAGAATTGCTGCATTCGTGTTCGAGTCATCTCCTCCTATAACGACAAGTCCGTCCAGCTGCAGCTTCTTGCAAACCTGTATATATAGTATATAAATATATACACAAAAAGAAAATATATATATATTATTCAGCTCTTTATATACACACACAAACAAACAATAATATAATGTAATTCAGATACAGACACCCGAAAATACTAAGCGGGTGTATGCGAATAAGATAAAATATATATATATATATATGTAAAGGAAAGAGAAATATAATATAATATAATGAATTGATTATACACGGACAAACACACAATAAGACAAACAAAGTATTGTTAGTTAGGTTGGTGATAAGGTAACTAACCTCAAGTGAAGCTTGCTTTTGTGCATCTGCTTCAATTTTATGTCTCCCGCTTTTAATCATATCGAATCCACCCATATTTCTATATTTATCAATAATATCTTTTGTTAGAACTTTATATTCTCCTGTGTATACACCATGAGGGCCTCCTAAGAAGCCGTATAAGACAGACTTCGGGTGTACACGATTGATGAAATCGAAGACACCGCAGATAACATTATGCCCTCCAGCTGCTTGACCTCCACTGAGCACAACTCCTACATTTAAAGGTTTATTATTATTATTTAATGCCCCTTCTTCAGGTGTACGTGCAGGTACAACCTGCACAAAAGGAGTATCTATTGTATGAGGGAACAGACTACGAAGAATGCTTGCGTCCTCTGCCGATACAGCAAAAGGAGCATTCATTTCTTTGTCTTGTTTATTTAAAAGACTCTCTCCTTCTACTCGCACTGTCTTCACGCAACTCGATGAAAATACAGAAGGAAGAAGCGGGGTAAATGAACGCCGCTCCAGCTGCAACAAACAAACAAACAAAAACAATTAAATAAATAAATAAAATAATCAATAAAAATATAAATATAAATATATATTTATTTATATGTAGAAAGATATATATATGAATGTACGTATGTATGTATATATTTATATATAACTATACGCAACGTATATACGTACACACAAACAAAACTACTCGCCTTCACTTAATAATAAAATTCATCATAAATAATAATAATAATAAATAATAATAATAATAAAAATAATATAATTGTTATTATTATTATATGTGCGGTGTTTAATACTTAAAATTACAGACAAAACAGCAGAACACACAACGAGAAAATAATTTTCTTCTCCTTATGAGGGCTTCTTCTTTCTCTGTTTTATATTTTATTTATTTATTAAATTAATAATTAAACAAATAATACATGTTGATTTATTTATTTCTATAATCTTCTTGTATTTCTTTTGTTGCTTGCATCTGTTTGCTCTCCTTATACATAACATTTCTTTAATTCTCTTGGTGCATTTATATATAATGCATTTATATACATATATATATATATATTTAATTGTTTAATTGTTTTATTAATATTTTCTTCTATTCTCTTTTCTATTACCTGCTTAGCAGAGGCAGAGGCGGTGGGAGCGGGGGGCCCCTGAGGAAGAGTTGAAGAAGTATTAGCTATGCCAGTCATCGTAGATAAAAAAGCCTAAAAAAAAAGATAAATAAAGGTGTTTAAAGGGGGTTCTATTAAATCTTACACCTGATAAGAAGAAAGAAAACAAAGAAATATATATTTATTTACTTTAAAAGAAAAAAAATAAAACAAAATAAATATAAATACAAGAAGAGAGCAAAGGTACACCCCACCAACAAATAATTAAAAACAGAAATAAACATACAGAGAAGGAGCTGCTGCAGTATATATTTAATATATAAATATATATAAATATATTTAAATATAAATTAAGATATATGCATAAATAAATAGAGAAGTATTATATATTTCTATACACGAAGAACAAATATAAAGAGACAAAGAAGAAAAAAGAAAGAGTTTGCAGCGCCCGCATTGGCTTGAAGAGAAGCAGAAGAAGAGGTGGAGAACAGCACAATAAAGATAAAAAATAAAAATAATAAACAATTAAAATATAATATTTCGATTTTAAAAGATTTATTTCTAGAGAATGTAAAAGAAGAAGAAAGACAAATTCTTGATGGTGCAGTAGCTGTTGGTGGGGTGTACGTACAGCTTATCTGCAGCTGTTTGGCTTTTATTAAGCGTAGATTTAAAGAAAGAAATTAATATTTTAATTGCTACAATTGAAGAAAACAAAGAAAGAAATAATAAACACAAAGAAGAAGAAACAAATTAAAAGAAGAGAGCACCCCTACACCTCCCCAGCCCCAAGAACGGTATGGTAGAGACAGAGACAGTAGAATCTGCATTAATAGGTTTTGTTTGCATTATATTAAATATTATTTTATTTTATTTTATTTTAAAATAAATATTTTAAAGTATTTCTTTGTCTTTTTCTACTTTTTTTGCTTTTTTCTTCGTTTTACCCTCGCATACAAAAAGCTGCCTATACACCCCACCCCTCATCTCCCCGCTACACGACTACCAGTTGAAGCAAATCTTTGTTATTTGTTTAAACTAATAAATTAATTAATTTATTTTGTTTTAAATAATAAAAGAATATATTTATGCGTTGTTTTAATAACAACAGCTCTCTTCAGCGCATCCAGGGCCTCCATTCTATATTGTATATATTACCTCTTTGTCTATTTACTCTACGCATGCATTATATAAAATATAAAACAAACAATCAAACATAGATTTATTTAACTTTTAATTATTATTATAAATTAAATATATCAAAACACCACTGCAAAGACAACAGCCCCACTGCACATACACCTGAAGTAAGGGAGGACAGAAATAATAATAAAAATAATAATAAATAAATAAATAATAAATAAATAATAATGATATATAGATAAAGAAATGTTTTATCTTGAATTTGCGTTTATTGTTTGTTCCTTTGCTTCTATAAACTTTAAATATATAAAATAAATTAAAATAAACAAAAAAAACAGCAATAAAAAACAAAGAAATGCAAATAAACAACTGAAATAAAGCAGAAAAAATATTTTAAATGAAGTGCACAAACAAATAAAATAAAAACAAAAAATAGACAAATAAACCGACAATAAAAATAATACGAAGTCATCATTATAATAAATTAAATGCATAATAAATATATTATAATGAATAGACAAAGAAACAATGCACAAAGTATGAAGATAAAAAGCAAAAAAAGACAAAGAAAATAAACAACAACTTCTTTCTAATCCCTTTGCTGCACCTCCTGCTACAATATATGTCGCATGCATGCATGCATGCATGCATGCATGCAATATATCTTTATATACATTTTATATATATTATACATTTATTGCATGCAAGCATGCATGCATGCTTTTATTTGTCTTTATGCAACCATAGTCGCATCTATCGGCAGGCATTAAACGCATGCATGCATTAGTAAGAATAATCAGCAGCATTTAATGCATTTAATGCATGCATGCATGCATGCATGCATGCATAACAACTAGCAGCACCGTGCATGCGTGCATGCATGCATGCATAAGAATTTAATGCATATATTTATAAGAATTTGCTGCATGCATGCATGCATTAGATGCATGAATAAGAATTTGCTGCAGCCCCAATTGGTTGCATGCATCAACGCCGAGTGTATTTAATCGATATCAAACAACTTGCATGCAAATACAAGAAAAATAATTATAAACATAAATATACAAATATAAATATAAATATAAATATAACCTTCTCAACAAAGAACTTGCGTGCATGCAGCAACAGCAGCAACAACAGCTGCAGCAAAAGCAAAAGCAGCAGCAACAGCAGTAAGGAGAGCAGCAAAGACATCGATACGAGGATCAGCAGCAGCAGCAGCAGTAGCAGCAGCAGTAGCAACAGCAGAAGCAGCGGCAGGAGCAGCAACTGCAGCAGCAGCTGTAGCAGCAGCAGCAGCACGAAGACAAGTGCCTCTGTTGTTTTTCTTTTTTGTTTTTTATTTTGCAGCATTAAAAAAGAAAGGAGTTGTATGTGTCCACACAAATAAACTCATCCCTTAAACCCTAAACCCTAAACCCTAAACCCTAAACCCTAATATCTTTAGGGGAGCAATAAGCAGCAACGAGTGCTGCTGCAGCTTCAGCGCCAGCTTGAGTACCTATGAGAGGCTGCAGCGGCATCTTAGGGTGCAGCGAGAAGACACTTGAGCGACATGCAGCAGCAGCAGCAGCAGCAGCAGGTTGTTGCTGCTGCTGCTGCAGCTGCTGCTGCTTGCTGCTGCGGCCCTCCATCTGCTGCAAAACCCTCAAAGCCCTCATCTCTGCTAGGACGTAACAAACTAAACCACCAGAATACGCCCTGAAGAAACACCCCATACACCCCAGTAAACCCTAAACCCTAAACCCTAAACCCTAAACCCTAAACCCTAATATCAACCCTTACATAAACCCTAATCATGCACTTTATTAATGACCCTTATTAATAAACCCTAAACCCTCAAACAGACGACAGAATCTCCTCAGCATCTGGGGTTTTGTATTACAGGGCTGTTTAGGGTTTAGGGTTTAGGGTTTAGGGTTTAGGGTTTAATTGCAGACCCTTCTATGTTGCGAAGGTAATGCAGCGAAAAGACAGGGAAGGAGGCGCCTAAAGTGTAGGGAGCGACGCTGCATATACACCCCAAATGCAGCAAAGTTAAATAATTAACTTTAAATTAATTTAAATTAAATTAATATTAATTTATTTTATTTATATTGAAGCAATGAAAGAGACAAGTAAATAAATAAATAAATGTTAGATAAATAAATAAGTAAACAGATAAATAAATAAATAAATAAATAAATAAATAAATAAATAAATAAATATTACATAAAGAATAATCAAAGAACAGAAAAATAATAAAAAATAAGAAGATAAACAAATAATAAACAAACAAACCCCAATGATAAATAAACACAGATAAAGACAGAGAAACAAATAAACAAACAAAACAGTACGGTAACACCTGCAGCAGCAGCGGCAGCAGCAGCAGCAGAAGCAGCAGCAGCAGCAGCAGAAGCAGCAGCAGCAGGAGCAGCAGCAGCAGAAGCAGCAGCAGCAGCAGCAGAAAAGGCATTTTCATCGGCAACAGCAGCAACAGCAGAAACAGCAGCACAAGCAGCAGCAGCAGCAGCAGCAACAGCAGCAGCACAAACAGCAGCAGCAGCAGCAACAGCAGCAGCAGCAGCAGCAGCAGGTGCTTATACTCTTCTATTGCTGCCTTGATGGTTTGTTTGAGGGTGTTGGTGTTTGCTGTTTTTGCGTCCAGTGTATGCACAGCAAAGTCAACAGCAGCAGCAAGAAGAGGGCTATTCGGGTGCAGCAGTTCGAACAAGTCTAAGCCCAAACTCCTAAACAAACAAACAAACTAACAACACAAACTGCTGCTTCTCATCCTCCTGATGCTGCTGCTGCTGCTGCTGATGCACCTGCTGCAGCAGAGGATGCTGCTGCTGCTGCTGCTGCTGCCGCTGGTCCTGTTGCTATTGCTGCTGCTGCTATTGCTGCAGCTATTATTGTTGCAGCTGCTTCTGATGCAATTGCTGCATGTGCATCAGGTGGAGGAGGAGGAGGAGGAGGAGCAGCAGCAGCAGCAGCAGCTGCTGCTGCTGCTGCTGCTGCATGTGTGGGGTTGTGGGGCTTTACGCTGCATGCGCTGGGTTGAGCTGTCGTTTGGTGTTGCGATGTGCAGACACCGCACGAAGAAACTCAGGACGTCTAAATATATGCCTAAAGACAAACAAACAAACCCCCTTCACCCATCAGCTAGCTAGCTAGTTAGCTAGTTAGCTAGTTGGCTCGCTAGCTAGTTGGTGTGGTTAGCTAACTAGCTAGCTATTCGATGTGGCTAGCTAGCTAACTGGCTAACTAATGCGGCTAACTAGCTAGCTAGCTAGGCTAGCTGACTAGCATGTGCCTATGTGGCTAGCTAGCTAGCTAGGTAGCTAGCTAGCTAGCTAGGTAGCTAGCTAGCTAGCTAGCTACCTAGCTAGCTAGTTGATGTGTCTAACTCTGCTAGTAGGGCGAATGTCTCGTCAAAGTCCAGCGGCCGCTCCCTTGAAAAATACATCTGCAAATGCAAAACAAGCAGCAGCAGCAACAGCAACAGCAGCA